ACAGGAGTTTATTCTATTCCATTAAGTGATCGCCGTTTTAATTCAGAGCTAGTTTACGTTGGTGCCACCATGAGACTTTTAAAACAGAGGATTAAAGAACATAAATATTCTATTACTAAAAACGTGGACAGCACCGTCCTTGCAGCCTTTGCTAAACATCAAGATATTAATGTACATTGGGACAAAGCATCTATAATTAGGACAGCCACCAACAAACAAGTCCTTAAACATATTGAAAAACTTGAAATTTACAAGGCGCATATTAACAAAGGATGCATCAACCATAGAGACGCAGAAAGTCTATCCTGCGCATGGAAATCTTTTTACCATGACGATTAATTTTTATTTTTAATTATTTTAATTTAATTTCATTCGTTACCACGATTAATTTCTTAATATTTTATTTTATTTATGTTTTACGTAATTAATTTTAATTTTTAAACCGTTGTATAGCTTACATTCTATTTTACGTTCGTTTTCCGTTTTAAAGTTCTTAACTGATGAAGACTATTAAATATAGTCGAAAACGTTTTTAAATTTATTAAATACGTTGCTGGAAATAGTAAGGTGGTTTGATTATTTTAATTAAATTCCAGTAAGTTATTTTATTTTATGATACATCATATGTGAACAGGACAGAAGACATATGACATTGTGCATATGAAGCTAGTTAATGGATGTAAGTACTTCCAAATACTGCTTGATAAGGCTTTTCAGCAGGAAGTAGTTGTCTTTGTTCTCAAGAAAGAGACTCAGATTGCAGGCCCAATTCATATTTTTAACATGCAACTGAAGTTTACAAGTTGCCTTATGTCATGAGGCATTGGGCAGGCATAGATGTAGTGCTGAACCCTGTCCGCCTCTCCACAATAACTGCACAGCTTTGAACTTGACTTATGGAATCGACAGAGATACATGTTGAACTGCCCATGTCCCATGAGAAACTGAGTCACCTGACAGTGCACAGCTGCAGAGCTGTTAGTGATGATGTTAATTGCCCTTCCAACAAGATTCTCCTTGCACCAATGAACTGCCAAAAGAATGGCAAGGACCTCAGCCTGGAAGACTGAGCACTCCAGGTGAAGAACACATGTGTCAAAGAAAATTTCTTTTCCTTCTGAAAACACAGAAAAGGCACACCCAGTGCCATTATCAGTCCTTGATCCATTGGTGAAAACTTTTGTGTTTAGTAAATAACCCTGTCTTGCATATAGCCCCCTCCTGTGGGCTGGGTGTGGAAGTTCGTCTACTTTTCTGTTAACCTCGTACGTTGCTGAAGGGAGAAGAAGCCTCCAATATCGGCATCAAACCCTCTGGAGATAAAGTATCACTTAGCAGTCTGCTGAAGCTGTAGATGGATGGGAAGCTTTCTGGCAATGACCTGCAGGGACTGATTGGAGGCAGTAGATTTTGCATGGGTAAGCCAGATCAAGGCCCTCCTCTGTGCTGACAACAGTCTATGTCTGTAATGCGAGTGGTCACAGGCCCACTCCAAATGCCACATGCATAAGTGATTATTGGTGTGAACATACAATTGTAAATTGGGTTGAGGGCATCAAAACCCAGACCCCACTTATTCTTGGCAGCTCTTTGCAGACTGTTGAAGATAACATTTTGTCCTATCTGTAACATGTTTAACATGCACCTGCCAAGTAAGTCGCTTGTCCAAAATTATACTTAGAAATTTGAGCTCTAAAAATTTTAACAGACCTCTCTTCCATCTTGATACACAGAGTCCTTTGATATAAGTCTGTGTTGTGTGGCCTTGAGAAAACAATACCTCTTATTTTTGAAGCATTAAAAACAAGTTTATTGTGCCTGCCCCAGTCACACACCACTGAAAGGATACTGGAAGTTGTGGTCTCACTGGCCTGCCTGGAGTTTGCAGGAAAGATGATGGTTCATCTGCATAAGCAAAGATGCAGCTAGCTACTGAAGCCAAAGTCTGTTCTTAAGAAGTTATCAAAAAGAATGTTCCATAAAAGGGGTCCACAGACAGCTCCCTGTGGACAGCCCCTCTGAAGTTCGCAGGTAAAAATATTGTGGCCCAATGACATGGTGGTTTCTCTATCAGAGAGGAAGTTCTCTGCAAGTTAAAAGAGGTTTGCAGGGCAGCCACTTTGTGCCAGCCTAAGGAGGATCTGTGGCCACCGAGCAGTATTGAATGCATTTTGAAGATTGAGACTAATCCTGAAGACATACTTATTGTGTTCAAGCAGCTGCTGTATATTGTTAGTGAGATCAACTAGGGCATCTGTCAAGCTTCTATGCTGATGAAAACTGTATTGAGCAGGATGAAAAAAACCTGCTACCTTCCAGATGCCAGGAAAATCTGTCATAAAGGAGCCTGTTGAGTACTTTCCCAAAGAGGAGAGAAGCGATATGTTCCTCATGTTGCCCAAGGTAGAGGGTTCATGCCATTTTTTAGGAATCACCACCAGCTGAGCCTGCTTCCAGGACTTGAGAAAAATATCAAAACCAAGGCACAAGTTGTATGTATTCAGCAGCATGTCAGGATGAATCTTCCAAATCTCCTTGACGATTTTTGATGATATGCAATCAGGACCAGGAGCTTTCTTATTAATTTTATTAATAATTTCACTAACTTCAAAAAAGGTGAATGGAGGGTCATTGTCAGTGAGTTCTCTCAGTGGAACAAATGCTCTGATGTTGCTTTGCTGCAAGGAATCCATCCTCCTCTGGATTGTCTAGAGGACAGAAGTGATTGAACAGATGATCCATAATGGTCTCCAGAGAAGCATTCTCTCCTCCAAGGTCATTGGCACTACTCAAAACAGTGTTTTGAGTTTATTTGAACACAATTTGTGAATAAAACCCTATTAATCCCTACCAGCATTGGAACAAAAGTCTTTCCATGATTCATACTTTGATTTTTTTATGGCATCCTTATAAAGACGCTGATATCTGAGATACTCCTCCCTGGAAGCATTTCGTTGATGATCCCAACATTGTTGAAAACGTTTACAGAGTTGGTTGTTCGTACTTCTCATCACAGAGAGTTTTTTTACTCCACCGCCCGTCAGCCAAATCGCTTTCTAGGAATAGCCAGGTTGCAAGCCTTATCAATCCTAGTGATTACATTGTCAATGAAATTCATTGCTTACTCAAAAGTATGGTTGTGACCAACATCACTGTCCACACCCTGCAGTGTATCAGCAAAAAGACTCCAGTCTGCAGAGTTCGTATTGATTAAAGGGCCTGTTGTAATTGGATGCAAAGACTGATGAATAGTGTTCAGCTTGAAAAAAAATATACCCGTGATTGGAGACTATCCCTATCATGAACCCCCATGATCCAATAAAGGGACATAGGCCACTTGAGCAGATGGTCAGATCAACCGTTGTTAGAGGAAAAAGTAGGACAAAAGAAGCAATCATTCAAAATAATGAGGTCAACAAAGTTCTCAACAGCCTCACTTCACTCATCTATATGCTCCCCACCCCAGGTGGGTGAGTGTGAGTTGAAGTCCCCGACAATGAGAAACAAGGCATTATGAAAATGCCCATCACTGAACTAAGATCACTAAGCATCTCGTGAATATTATGCCTAATGGAGTCATAGACGTTGTAAACAATTACACAAAAGTGAGGGAGGTTAAACTTGAGACAGACATGTATTGGAGAACTTGACCCATGGATGAAAGACAACGGGAAGATTGGGGTTGATGATGATGTCTGCATCCCAAGGGAGACCTGCATTGTGTTGCAGGATGATATCACTTGTCCAAAAGCAAGAAACTTTGTTGTCACAACAAAATGGCTCTTGAGCAAGAGCCACATCATAATGCTGCAATTCCTGACAAAGCTGCAAGACTGCAGCAATAGCATGCTGCAAATTTTCCCGAATGAATCTAATTTTAACATCCTGAGGACTACTACCAGGGTTCTGATTAAGAGCCATAATCAATCCTGGCCATGACTTGTGCTTTGACATGAAGATAAACAGGGTATGCTTTGTCAAGAGTATTATGGAAGTTGCCTGAAATCTTTTCTCTAGTGCAGTTAAAACATGTAGGGTTTCCTGACTTTTGGTTACAGTGGTTAAAAGCACTGTAACAAAAAGTCAGAAAACCCTGTGTACTGTTACTGCACAAGACAATGAGAAAACAAAACAAAAAGAATGGTCACCTCCACATTGGCTACATGAATGTGTTCTGGCATCACATTTAATAGCATAATGACTGAACCGAAGACATTTAAAACATTGACTAACTGCTATTGTCAACAACACTGCATCTCATTCATTGCAGATTAACCTTCTGACCTTTCATTAGTTTCACTGTTAAAATGGGGAAAACCTCAAGCACCCAAGTAATGAACAATGGATTCTTCTGACTAATAGGGAAATGAATACACGCTTGATCTAGAAAATCTTCTTTAGAAAGACACTCAGAAATTTCGCATTTTGTTGGAACATGAAGTCAAGTAGGTCATCTTGACTAATAGATTTAGGAACCAAGATAACTTTGATTAAAGGACGGTGCTTTTTAGGAGCAGTGGCACACAGGATAGGAACCACCTCAACTGCCTTCTGCAGTTTTTCCACATCATCTTTGTCAGATCAATCGCAAACCCATCTTGAATTTTATTCTTTGAATGCCAATCTTCAGCACATGTGGAATGTTACTGCTGGTCAGAATATGCCTGATGTTCTCAGTCTTCAGTTCCTGACTCGCCATAGATGAGAACAGTGAAATAAAAGGTAACATTAGTCAACCCTGCCTTATCTGACTTAGCAGGTCTAGAAACAACCTCACTAAAACTGGGGCTGGGGTCAGGCCCCACAAGCACTCCTCCCTGGCAGTCAGTGGAGGAAACACACTGAAGGCCTTTAATGGCCTCTTGCCTCAGTGAGAATTTTTTCAGCTTTCTGAGAATGAATTGCCAGCAACTCATTAATGTCTTGTTTCATAGCAATGTCGTCGATGTTATTAACTACAGAGAGATGATTGTAAACAGAGAAAGCAGACTTGGCTAGATTGATGACACACTGGACCTGATTCACAATATACTTGGAGTGCTCACAGGTATCTAAACGAGACTTGCTGTTATCCATTTGATAGCTCTTGACCTCATCCAGAATTTTGTATGCAGCATCACAAAATTTGGAAGAATCGAGCACCACCATTGCCGAAAGTACAGAAAAGAGTGGAAACTCAATCAGAATGCAGGTCCACCAATGGGACTCCACAAGTGGAATGAAAGTAGTAATTAAATAACAAGAAAAAACAGCAATAGGTAAAATTAAGTAACTAATGGAAAACAGCTAAGGAAAGCCCAAAACAAAAGGCAGAGTATTAAGGTGGAAAGTTTGAGAATTGAGAGAACAATGGATTGCTCGAAACAATGGACTTTGTTTAGACAGGAGGTTTGAATGGCCAGAGCACAGCATAAAAATTAAGATACCTGAATAGAAATTATAGGATACAGGGAAGCTATCAGGACTAATAATATTAATATTCAGGTATAATATATATAGTAACATATATTTTACCCGGAAAGAAAGGTCGACAGAAGCCTGAGAGAGAGAGAGCAGCGAAGCTTCATAAGATCCAAATTCTTTAACTTGGCAAAAATTTCACGAAGTGATAAAATTCTTTCACCAGATGAAAATATTCGATAAGAGGAACCCAACAAATTACAAGTCAGTACAAAAAAAGTAGATAAGTCCTCCATAAACTGTGCAAAATGCATAGAGGATCTAACACACATCTTGACCCCTCAAAAGCCACATACCAACAGGTGGTGCCAGATTAGTGAGAGTTCCAGATTACTGAGTATATAGGCCTAAAGATAATGAATTACATGACCTGTCATCTTTCAGTACTGATTCTTTTTGAAGCTGTTTTACAAAATTATATACAGTGTTACAATAATTGTAAGTTAAATCTTTATTAATTTAATGTTAAACATTTATTGTATGTACATAAAGAAAACACAAATAAGAGAGAGACATATTATAATGAGAGGTATGCTGGATAATTAAGAGAAAAGATTATTAAGAGCCAGATTAGTAAGAGTGTACTGTATAGCTTGTTTTAAAAGATATGTATTATACAGTGGCGTGTCATCATTGGAAGCGGTGGAAGCACCACTGCCCTTGTATTTTCCAAAAAATAAATACATATTGTGCAATTATTTTCATATAATTAAAATTAATACAGTAGATCCCCCTATAAGACGGTAGATACGTTCCGTTCTTTATGAATCCAATTTTGTAGGAATCGCAGCCAATCACAGCCCGACACGTGTGAAGTTTACGGACTACGGCTGTTTGAAAGGTTTTCTTCCATAAAATTAATCGATTCTAGACTAATCTGACTCAACATTTCCAGTATATTTTTTTTTGGAAATAATCCGTATAAACTACGCTATAAACAAAAAATTGTAGGATTACTTACCGAGTGTGCACCGTTCGACATCGCCATTGCTCAAGCTTGTTTTCGTCGCGGAATAACTCAGCAAACCGCGGCCGTGATTTCTGATGTTATTTTTCTGCGAAAACTTCGCTGAACTTTGGAGACATCATTAATATAAATAATTTTTATTGCCGTTGAATAAGAAATGTTTCTTTCACAAGAAATGTATAAAATTACAGTACTGTATTAGACTTACGGTACCTAATTTACATACTGTACAGACGATAGTNCTCTTAACATCAAAACATTTTGAATAATTGTAAGTTTTAATCAGAAAATATACTTGTTTAAAATAATATGAAGATTTAAATAATAAATTAATGTATAAAATTATAGTAATCATTAAAATTATGATAATTCAATTATAGTTATTGTAAGTTTGAGGCAGGTAAAGTTGAGAAAATTATCATCTAGGTTGTTAACGCTTAGATGATAATTTTCTCAACTTTACTTATCCAATATTCAGCGTGAAGTCCAATATTATTTTTCACTTTTTGAGGCAGGTCCTGAATGGTGCTGAAAGTAGTTGTTTGAATAAAAATATTTTCTGCTTGGAAGAGTGTGAAGTTCTTATGTAATTGTGTGTCAGTTCCAGCCTTTGGAGGAATTGATAGAATAATTAATTCACAAGAATAAATAAAATTTAGATATAAAATAATCTGCTTACATTAATAAATTAAAATTATATTAAGAATTAATTTTTTTTCTACTCATGCTCTGAATATAAACCTTAAAAGCTTTCAAATTTCTACATTTATAGACTGTACAATTTTAAAAATGAAAGAATTTTATTTAT